CGGTTCATCCTCCATTTGTTCTTGTGCAGTTGAAGGCCAATATTCTGCCATTTTATCAACATTCATATCCATCATCAAGTCACAGCCTAAATGAAGAATCCTCAATCGTTATCATCAAACAAGGCCTCGATTGAATCAACAATCAGCCTCATAAGTAAACATTTAACTGCTCAACAAAATCGTAAATTACGGATCTGCATATACAAATGCCTGAACTCGAATCATTTCTGATAGTCCCCGATAATCCTAATCAGGACAGACAATGACGCCAAGAACAGCTAAGACAGACGAGAAAAGCGCGCCATTTCGGGAATTCAATGACAATTCAACAAAAAGAGCGCAAATCAGCGGAGTAGACAACAAATCCACACAGAAAACCACCAGATCTCGTAAATACGAAACCGCGAGGGAAGCAATGGGGAAGATCAGAAATGGAATATTACCGACCTGTTGATAAAGCGCGTAGAGAAGCAGAGCAGTATCGTTGGCAAATTTCGAGCTGACTTGTTTCGCCGACGAATCAGATCCGTCGAGGCCGACGTAGGACGCGGCGGCGTAGAACCTCTCCGGGTAAGCGAGGCCAGAGCTTGCCCAAGCCATAGCCATTTCTCTCTCCTCTTTCTCTCTCTCTCTCCTCTATCTCCTTGGCCGTGGATTTGATCGGAGATCGACGACGATGACAGATGGAGACGACGGGGGAGTGGATGATTTGAGCGTTTCTCGTTTCTGTTACTGTTAAGGTTCAATCTATTTTTTTTTTGTTTTTTCAGATGCTTAGAAAAAGTATATTTAATTAATTAGAAATGAAATTATGATTTCTGGATGCAGCGTTTATATAGCGGCACGATCAAGGAGACATGTTCTTCGAGTTCTTCCGCGTATAAAACGACGCCATTTTAGGTTCACAAGAAAACGACGCTGTTTTGAGCGGCTCTATTTATGGCCAACATTTGTGTGTGACAATTGTACTAATATAACTCACCATTACATCAATGAAGCTTCGTAGTTTAAATTAGTGCTTCCCCATTTATTTAAATTAATTTTCTTGGTCACTTAAAATGTAATTATCCATAGAATCACGATTTTAGCGTTAGAATATATATATATATAATATACACATACATACTAAGTAGACTTATTATCAGCTTCACTTGTACGGAAGGATCATCTCACCAGCAGTTGTCGGATCTCTTCAAGTGAGATTCAGATAAAACAAAGTCATGAATCTCATCTTCTTCTCCAAGAGAGAAACCGAAGTGGAAAGAACAATAAAAGATCTGTCCCTGTCCTGGTAATGCATTATGTTTCTGTTTCTGTTTTATTGGCATTTTCTCACACTTTCTCAGCAAACCAAACAAGTTCGAGCTCCTTCTCTCATCTCATCCTCTATTACCTTTTTTTTTCCTTTTGTTTTTTTACAGGCCAATACCAGAACCAAGACCATCAGAAAGAAACCAGCTTCAGCTAAGAAGTTCTAGGAATTTAACGATCGAAATGGGTAAATCAAGCTTTCCAAGATGCAGATTGGCTTACAGATGATCCTAGGGTTCCTCGTGTTTGTTGTAAGCCTCTCCTGTCTCTATAGGTTCCATTCATCAGCAGGTTACTTCCCCCACATTCGCTATCACTTTCACATCTACCAGGGATTCGATCTGCAAGCACTGCATAGTCAGGTCAATAAACATTCTTGCAAAGATGGAAAACCTGCAAGAAAAGCTTGATAAGACGGTACAAGAGATGAATAAGAGAGAAGATGCAAGTAGTAAAAGAGAGATCAAGAAGTTTCTGGAAGAGGAGGCGATCCGGCCGTTGTATTCTGCCCACATCGCTCTTAGGCAGACCTGGTTGCCTAAATCCGAGGGAATCAGAAACTCAATGGAAAAGGAAGAGCCACTGATCAATACATTCGCCATGGAAGAGATAAGTGAGTATATTACCCCTAAGGAGAATCGGGTGGAAAAGATTACTAAAATGTTTGGAACAGAGAGAGTACACAACACAAAAGGGCATGCCTGTGTATTGATGAAACAAGAGCTAGAGAAATATATGGTCTACGATATCAGCCGTATTGTGATGATGGAACCTAGCACAGAAGCTGATGCTTAATGGGTGTGGCCTGTTGCCTAGAAGAAGATACTTAACAAGGGCCTCAAACACTTACCAGAACCCTATTCAATGAACGAGTCATTGTGGAAGATTCCCAACGACAGGAACGTGAGGTGGGGAATCTACCGTTGCAGGAACTTTGCCTGTTTGTCAAGCAAGAACCCCTAAAGGGGTCACACGAAATGCATTGGATGTTTTGAGATGGAGAAAGAAAAGGTTAAATGGGTGAGAAATAGTACCTTGCCGAATGATTTCATGATAGATGATGTTTTGGCAGTGAAGCTGGGAGGAGAGATCAGGATGGGACTGGACTACAGCATAGTGACGGGCACACATTTGCAGCAAGAATGAGAGAGAGGGACGATACCATTGTCACAACTGCTTTAAACTTGGGAGCTTCATTCAATGAGATGATCGCGCTGAGAGGTTTGATCCTGCTGTATGTCTCTGTGAACCAGCGGCTACCATTCTTCGACAATACTATGGATCTGATTCACACTGATGCGTTAATGGATTGCTGGATCGATCTCCTTCTGATGGATTTTATCTTGTATGATTGGGATCGAATGCTGAGACCGGGTTGTGGATTGACAGATTCTTCTGCAACAAGATGGATCTTGAGACTATATGTACATGTTCCTGCAGTTCAGGTACAAGAAGCAGAAGTGGGCTATTTCCCCGAAATCAAATGACCAAGTTTATCTCTCTGCATTGCTTGAGAAACCTCCCCAAGCAATCTAATCATGCAAGAACAAGTTCATTGGATATTGTTCTGTACTCAACATAGACACTCTGTTAACATTTACATACAGAAACCAACATAAAAGTTCAGCTGAAATGTTGTACTCAATTAATCAGCTACTCTTTGTTTTTAACTTTGAATACAATGGAGAATGTTTGGTTCTGCTAAGCCCTAATAGTACAGATAAGCAGGAAAATGATGTGAGAATTTCCTGTTAAATAAAAGCCTTCATCAGATCACAACTGACCAGGTTCCAAGGAAGAATTCTATGGTAGAACCTCGGAAGATCAGCCCATCATTGCTCCATTTCTGTATTGTTGGAACTCTTATGGAGTTTGTGCTTTGATTTCTTCTCCCGTTTCTTACTCCTGAAAGTGAACAAGGAGGGAAAAGAGCTGAATTAAGAAAAAAATGTGCTTGGATTAAGGCGGCAGAGTCAAAGTATAAAAGGTAAATATAATGTACTCGTCATGTGAACTATGTCCTAGACAAGATTTTAGCTTCCGGTTGATGTGCTTCATGTCCTTTTCGCTAGGGAATTTATAGCTCTTTGCCTGGAAAAAATTAGCAGGGAATAAGGATTGTGAAAATCAACAGTATGCTGCAAATTCGCAACCAGGCAGATCCATATGTAAGAAGTCGTACTGCCTGGAAATCAAGTTTTGAGTAAAATGTTAATATTCACAATCAAGAACAAAGATAGGCAACGGTAACCAGCATTAAGAAGTGAAAGTGTGAGGTCTATTAATGTTGGGTATGAGAAAACATAGATTGTAAATACATACCAAACTTTCAATTGCATTAAGTACATTCGTGAGCTCTGAAATGGCGTGCCCAGATTTTGGTTGAGAAACAATGTTTTCTAGGTATCTGCAGCAGCAACAGCTGACAGGTAAGTCAAACTTACAACAAACAAAAATTTGCCATCTTGGGAGGCCAGAGGACAAGAGAAAACAGCATTATGTAATGTTATTGTCCAGCTATTGACTCGTTCCCGACATATGCTAATGAAGTGTAACAGAAGAGATGGGACTGTGAAGGGAAATTAACCTGTCAAAGTCAACAGCTCCAACTATTCCGTTTGCCATACGCAAGGCAGCCAATGCCAACTGCAAGACACCCGTGAAACAGTTGAGAAACAAGACACGGTTGCAGTGCTTCTCTTCCTCATAAAAGCAGTTCAAGTTCATGTCACAATAGCATAGATGTAGAAAGAACCAGAAGACAACTGGTAGATGGTGAGGCGTTTTAGGTGTGTTAAATTATATGGCAGAAATTAACACTTGCAGTTTTAGCTTACAGATTACAGTGGCTTAAATCAGTCCAGTTTTCGATCTTAAAATTATATCTTGGGTAACATACACAAGCTCTATGACTGTATCCAACAATAACAAATTTTCTCCCCAATCTCATTGCAAGGTTTCAGTAATTATGTATCTCCATTGTTTGATAAAGCCTAAGAGACAAAAATAAATTATCACATTACCTGGCCAGGGGGAAAGAGGAGGAGCATCTGTGAGCATGATTTTATCAGTTTCTGCTGTTGCAGCTTTAAGAACATCCTACAAATTACTTGTGTGTTATGCTAGTACCAGAAAACAGGACTCCTGAAGTTCATAGCTTGAAGTTATGATCATAAAATAACCCAAATTAGAATCTACCCCTTACAATCTTTAATTCTGTATCAATGCAAAAACATGCCTGAAGTTAGGAATGGCTAAGGAACCATCAAGACAAAGAGAAGTACAGACTACCTTCAGTTTCTGGACTTTATCATCTCTTACTTGGAAAAATGCCTACAAGATCAGACATTGAATTACCCTAGGCGACAGCTCAAAAGTGGAACAGCAACGAAAAGTTACAAATCAATCTAAAGCAAGAAATAGCTTCAAATTCCGATCATGGTTTTCCAAGGCTTTTACTAGATGATACCATCCATAATTTTGTATAAAACAGAACAATTGCATGCTATATTACAGAGAAATCCCATTACACATATGCAAACAGAGGACATTAGCTTTGGCAACAAAGCCCTAGAGAAAAATAACATGAACAAGCCAAGTGTACCTCCATATCATTGACAAAACCTTCAATTGCACGATAAGGTGCATAAACAATTAGATCAAATTCCAAACTCTGCGCATAAAATTTAAAGCAAAATTAAGCTAAGGAAGCTAAACAACATCAGATATAAGATAGATAGAAGCAGGCTGCTAAAAAGGATTTGATCAATATCATACCTGAAGAACAGCCATCTCATACTTGAGAATTATTTGGTGATCTTGTTGAATTCCCTTCCCTATCTCCTCTGCGGAGACATGATTTTCCTCTATTTTACAAGATGCATACACACAAGTTAACCTGCAGGATGAAACAAATCAGCCAGGCTAAATAATCAGAACTTATCAGGGAGAGATTTATTACTGAAAAGGTTTATCAGAAAGAACATAAAATTGTAAAGAAGATACCTAAAACAAGCACTGATAAATAAGAAAAGGCAACATGGTTATTCTTTGTAATTGTTCAAATAACTGCTGGTTCTTGCATGTTTGATCAAATTTAGAACACGAGGCATACAATTTAAGGATTCAGAAGAACCATACATTATTTCTTTTGGATGATGTTGCATGACAGACCATTGCAGGTAAAATCTTTTAAAGTATTGGAGGGCTGTTGCCTGCAAGAGACAGAAAAAACATGCAAATGAGGTTCTAATAATATCCAGTCTTCTATTAACTTCACAATAAATTTCCAAACAGCGAGATATGCAATGCACCTGAATTTTATGAGGAAAGCAAAAGGCACTACACACTTCTTGAAGCTTCGCCTCATAAAAAGCTCTCATGGACTGTTCTTCTTCAACACTCAGAGGCTTTAGCTTCTTGGAAGCTGATAACAAAGCAGCAAACATATTACAGTGTGACTGAACAAATACAAAAGAAAAACATAACAAACAAGGGGGAACAGTGCTTTGCAAAGAGTGATGCCAAAACAAAAAAACCTTGATCTCCTGCATCGACTTTACGTGTAGGGTATAATAGTGATCCACTGGGATCTACTTCAACTTGGGTTGTTCCACACTAGAAATAAGAATAAGTTAGCATCTATAATGGATGCAGACTAGACTGCCATATGAACATAAACACGCACCTTCTCCAGCATTTGCACGGCCCTTCGATTGGAAGCTTTGTATTTCTCTGCCTGCAAATAGGACGCGATAGCTCAGTTGCAGCAACAATAACAACACACGCAATGGTGCCACAACAGTTTCCTGCAACATTCCGCTGAATATTCTCATCGCTCAAACAGAAACAAAACAGCAAAAAGTGCCCCAGAACGCAATCACTATGTGCAATCATAATAGACAGTTCACGAATGCAGACAAGATAGAATCCTCAAATTAAGGAGCCGCCGAAACCAATTCTGCTCAGTTTTTCCCTGGTCACATGATTTTCTCGGTACCCAAACAGAAAAATGCCTTTATAATCCGTACAACGGAGATAGAGATGGAGAACAGGTACCAGAGAATGAGGAGTGAAAATCCACTTGCCACGGTGAGTTGAACTCTGGAAATCCGCCATTACTGAGTCACAGACGAGTTTGCTCGCACCGAGCCCAAGCGATCTGGAGTGATTCCAAATCGAGACTTATGTTTCTGGCTACGAACCCTGTGGCTTAGTTACAGGCGACCAGGGGTATTTATAGCCTTACGAAACCTCTGCCTTAATTGAAAGGTCCCAAATTTTACCGAAGGGCCCCGAAATTAACAAAATTTACAGAAAAGGCCTTAAGCTTTTAAGATTGGAATAAAAGTCCAGGTTCGTAAAATTCCTCTAGTACCAATGTGTAAACGAATATTAGTTGAAAGTTGAAACCATTCAAAATGCAAATATATAAACCTGCCACAATGGATGGCAGTTGAAGTAATCTGAAACATTGGTCGGAAAGAAGACAACCACAGGATTAGAGCTAAGTTGCTGAAGTTAGATTATATAATAAAAAAGAGCTTAAAGAGGCAGTTTTGCCAGAAAGCAATGTTCACTGAATCTGGCATTCAAGCAGTTTTAACTATGAAGCCGGCAGACATGAGGAAAGGAAAGGTATCATCATATCATATTATCTGGTAACATCATCTACTCAGGTCATCATCAACAGAGAGACCGAATAAGCAACCTAAGAAAGAAGAAGAAGAAGAAGAAGAATGGAGGGAGGGATACTGTTCTGTCTTTAAGTCGGTACAAGGGCAAGAATCTGAGTCTTGATACGACCCATGCACGTCTGGATTTCTCGGTAGATGGGCAGGTTCTGAGGGCATCTCGGATGCAAGCTCATGACTGCAGTGTCTATTAGCTGAGCCACGTCGGCTGGAGGATACTGTCTCTCCGTGCACATCTGCGTATCAACGGGGAAACAAAAGTTCGATATTAGCCGTCAGGATAGGTGGGTTATGAACCCTTTTTCTGTCGGTTCACATTCTCGGTTAGTAAACTAATCTGAGACATGTTTGAATCCTGAAATAGATGATCCTCTTGGTCTGGATAATGGCATTTGGTACAGACAGATTCAAACTTTCAATACCCAGAACCAGAAAGCTCTGATTTGATGTACTGGATTATGTAAAATAGGTTTTCCGTACTGAATTATCTTCAAGATTACCTGAATCATGAGCCAAGTGGCAACGCAGGAGGAGATGAGCTCAGAAGGCATTTGCCCCTCGTTTTTCCCTGAACCGTCCTGTGAGATGGAACCATTAACCAGTGACTCTAATGCATCAGAGGGAGACTGGCTGAGATGATGATCCAAGCTGCCATTGGCATGCTCTTGATGCTTGACACCAGGGACCATAGAGCTGTGTAGTGGCAGATGTTTGCCTATGGAGTCTATAGCCTCCTGGATCTTTTTACTCGCATCTTCCCCTTCCTTCACAGAAGATGCAGCCTACAAACACATAGAAACACTCAGCCTCAGCAAAATAGGTATCGTGTTGGTGTGTGAATACAGGAAACTGGCAGAAATATAACTGATACCTTAATAGCTGCATCTACCATTGCTTGAGCTCTTGACTTTGAACCCTTGACAATTTCGAGCATTTCTGGCTCTATTTCCTGTAATATGTTAAATGACAATCAGATTGCAACAGGTCCAGGTGTTGATTCACTTTTCTGGGCCACGACCATGAAAGCCTATACTTGGAAATGATCCAACAAAAGTCGGCTTCCATTGCTAATGGATGCTTAAAAGGTCCATTGCCTTGTACCCATTTGGTTTTTTGGAAAACTTTTAAGAGTCATTTACCTTTTCATTTAGAGAACGCTGCACTGCCAGAGCTCGTTGAATCTCAACTTCTCTAGCTTTACTAAAGGTTGTAATAAAAGGGTGATTGTTGGTGGCCTGCTGTGGACTAGTAGTGTTGGTTGCCAAAATCTTAGCTTGTAAAATCGGTCCATTTGTGTCACCCTGTGGAGCATTCAGCGTTCACCACCAAAAAAACGTTTACCCAAATTGCATAGGAAAAACAACAAAGAATAAGATCAAAGACTCAACATATTTCTTCACCTGTTTCATGTATAAGCTAGCATTTTCAAGCACACTCGAAGGGAATATTACAGACCCTTCAAAATTTGGATGTCTGTTTAGATGTGCTTCTTTGCTTATTGCCATGCACATGTCAATTTGCCTCCTCAGACCTTCAGGCATGTACTCTAATGGATTCAAAGGCATGCAATCAATGTCCTGTCAAAATAAACTTTTGTTATATCATGAGACATATACATATAGTGGAAAACAATCAAAGACCCTAAAGCCATATCTCAGTTTCTGAAAATAATTTGGGTGTCATCATCCGTTAAAGGATTATCTACAGCGGACTTAACTGTGTGAATATAAGTACAATTGATATATATATATATATATCTCACAGAAATTACGGAATGGGAATGTAGCCTGAAATTTACCTTAACAAACTCAACCCCCAAGTCATCACGATCAAACAGAACGCTGCACTTGTTATGATCCACAGTGAGAATTTTCCCATCATGAATTTCTCGCGTTTTAGGATGGATAGCAATAACTTTATTCCCAACCGATAAAGGCCGAGCCAAATCAGTCGGAAGTCCTTCCCTAGCACCTGCCCGGAGTTCTGTGTAATGCTTTCTCACAGATTCACGGTATTGTTTGAGTTTATCCCTTTCCTCCTGTAAGAATCTCTCAGAGAATCTCCTAGGTCTACCAAGCGAACTGCAAATAAAGGATGATCAATTAAAGTCTTTCCATTTCCAGAGTACATTCCATAAAACAAATACATCACGGAGGTGAAAAAAACCTCTTGATGACACTCCATTCAAGACGAGTAAGTCTGGGAACATGGCCAAGTCCAACATGATTTAAGTAATCAACGAACTCCATCTTTGCAAACCATGGATAGTCAATAGCACTATAGAACCATTCAAATATGCACCTCCTACGTGCCAAGGGATATGATAGACATGATGAAAGCTTCTCCTGAATACATAGAATAAACAAAAAATAAATAAACCAGATATTGAAAACACGTGTATATCTTCTATTGTCCCTGAAAGAGATTAAAGCGAGAGACTTCACCTTCAATAATTCATGTTCTAAAAGAGATTCATTGACATATGAAGCTTTAGGAGTGGTCTCAGAAAATTTAACCCTCTCTTGTAACGTTTTCTTCAGGCCCATCTTGCGTCTGTTCTGAGGTTTCTGCGGTAAACTGGCAGAAGCAGAAACCGGTAAAGTTTTCTTATCGCTAGCTGAAGAAGATTCCTCCAATGTCTTAACAGTTTTCAACTGTTTCGACTGTGCTGGAACTTGAACAGTACGTTTTGTTTTAACCACAGACTTAGCATTCTCATCATGAGCTGATTCCTGCAGCACAATAAATAAACACAAATCACGGGAAATATCAGTAACAACATCCATATTGCACAAGGTAAACAGGTAACGTTTCCAATCGAAGGATAAAATTATATTATTTCAGAGTTTGTCAAGGATCTTAGCAATGAGAGATCTCAGGGATCAACAAGATTAAATCCACATAAAAAATGTAATATAGGATAGGTTAAAAAAAAGATTCCTATATGATCAGCGAATACCTTCATCAATGTGGATTTGTTCTGGTTTGAATCTGTTGGAGGTTCAGCATCTAGCACCTGCAGATTAAACGTAAAGCATAATAGTTAAAAAGATACCTTGAGATATTAACAACGGGAACTAGACAAACTAAGAGAAAGCTCGTTTGCTAACCTTTGGTTTACGCCTTCTTCTCAATGTGCCACTAGGTTGCTGCTGTTGCTTCCCTGCAGGCCCAGCAATACCATCCGCCGATGCTTGCCTCGAGGATTTCGGTTTTCTATATTTAGTATTCTCAACAGCTGAAATCGCATGAAGGACACTTTCTTCTGGTTCCACTTGTTTTGATTTCTCCCCATGATGGCTTGTGGATGTGGCTTCTGGAGTGCTAGACTTCTCATCCATGTCATTTGCGGTCCCTTCTTCTTTTAACTGGGCGGATGATTCTGGATCCATGGAAATTTAGTAAAGCAAAACAAATTAGATGATATATGGATGGTGAGAGAAGCAGGGGCGAATAATAGCAGGCTCTTGGTTTTAGAAAATGTTGCTAAGCCAGAAAGGATAGTTTTATCGCATATTTAGGTAACAGGGTTTATGTCACTTGATCCTCACCCGATTCCATCAGAGCCGCCGGAAGCATTGAAGCTGACAATTCAGCCAATGCTTGTAGAGCATCAAATTCATCTATGCAGCAAAAGTCAAGTAGTAAGTTCCCGATTCAGATATCCTAAACTAGAAATGACAAGAGATGGAAGAAAAAATAAATAAATGGTCAAATGATCAATATGCTAAAACCTCTAAGGCATATGTTTCCAATTTACTTAAAGAAAGTGTCATGTAGGAAGATACTGTTAGACCTTATGAATTGTAACAAAGTTGTCAAACTAACTTATTCTTAGCACTTACCCCCAAATTGAAGCTTCTTATTCCTTTTCTTTGGGCCATGTGGTGAAAATTTCCCCCTTGAGGCCTCAACATCAACTTTTCCTTTCTGTGATTTACTTCTAAGTCCTTCAGTGGCACTGCATGCTTCTCCACTGTCATCAGAATCAATGCCTTTTGCTTCTTCGACTTTTGCTTTTTTCCCGTAGAACTTTTTCCCTCTCCGTAGAACCTCCACTGTGCCAACCCCCTCCATATCCATCAAAGAGGTAGCATCTCTATCAGAGCCTCCCTTCTTACGTTTCCTTTCTCGGTTACCTTCCACCCACTCTTCACACATGGAACTATCACGGAGCTTGGATTGAGCTTCCCTTGCTTGTGACTGGTCAAAAGCAAAAAAAAAAATTGAAAATAATGCATTCAGACATTATTATAAGAAAGAAATGCACATAAATACGCCAAAAATTTTGTAATTATAAAGATACCATTTTCCCCCAGCTCTTAATTGGTGAGCTGTCACTGTGCTCCGTTCTTCTATATGGTGACTCAGAACCTCCCCTTTTTGATGCATCTGTTAATGCTAGTGCTACAAAATGTGCAACATCGTCATTATCGACTGGCTTCCTAGCTCTTTTACTAAGTGGAGTGGACCCTTCTCTATCCTCCCTCCTGTAAGAACTTGGAACAGGAAATCGGGGTGTACGTTTTCCGGTAGCACGACGCTGAGATCCTACATGAGGATAAGGACCAAATCTTACACTACACATTCTTGAAGAATTTTCCTTTTTTTTGTTAGGTACTTGTTATGCCAACACATAACTCCACAAGAGAAACGATAATCTTTTAAGTGCTGGGAACTAAACGATTAAAATCAACAGAACCGTTCATCTGTTCGGTTACCAATGTAAAGATGTTATTAGGAGAAGAACAGTACACTAAGAAATTGTTTTTCTTTTCAGCTCACTTCAAAACAGAGAACAATTTTAAAAGAATGACGAGTTGATGAAATGTGAGCACTTTACCAAAAGCCTGTGCCTGCTTCAAAAAAGATAGGCATCCATCTGCCGATGCAATTGAATGTGGTATATTAGTTTCCTCTCGAGATTCTTTCGTACGCTTGCCCTTCTGATATTTCTTTCGCACTCCAGAAGCAGCATGCCCTTCTCCTTCGCTGTCGCTCCCATCCTACAATAAATATTCTAAGAATGAGATGGAAATAAGACATAACTTTAACAAATATATAGACAGACCCAACCATTTTGACGTTTTTCCATCATTCTCCAGGAAATGTGGAAGCATTCCTAATTTCATTAGTTATACTGTTTATCTACATTCTTAACTTGGTTACTTTTACTTCAACATTCCTACGCAAATTTTAACCAGATAACCATGTTAATATTCTTATTTATTAGCATGCTATCTAACATAAAGTTTATGACTTTAGCATAACCAGCCATAAAAGAAAAACGATTCTCACCATGACACTGTAATGATCAGTCATCATTGCAATGAGACCAGCCACAGATGCAGTTCCCTCAGGCAGGGATAAGTACGCCTGGAGGAAATGAAAAACGAAAAGGATGAACCATATTTAGTTGGATCATGAACTAAGATGTATAGGTGTGACTTGATAAGTGATAAACGTTACCATGAAAACAGAGAATTTTTGCCACACCAAAACTTAATGAAACCAAGCAAAGTCAAACAATGTTATTGCATTCATACCCGATTCATATAGAAAAGGGCTTCCACCATTTCCACAGATCTGTTATTACGCACTGAGGCAGCTACCTAAGCAGTAGCAGGACAAAAAAGGATTAAAAACTCGGATAAGGCATGCGAAAGGGAAGATGCTAAACACTAAACAGTATACCTTCTTCCAGTCTTGCCCATGCTTCCGATAGGCATCATAGAAACGCTCAAGCTCCCCTTTGGTCCACTGAGGTCCCAACTTGTCTGACAATTTCTTCTTCTAGGATGATTAACACATACTTAGCACATTTAATCAACACATATTACCTTCCAACAAAAGAAAGAAAAACTGAAAATGGTTCACTTGTTAATATTATCCCCCTCAAGTGTCCAAGAAGTTCTTTCAACACATTAAACAAGGTATGTAGAGCTGTTATTTCCTCAACACCTGAGGATCTTACGAAAAATATGCAAGAGATGACCCCCAGATGTTTAAATTGCATTGTAGGCTTAGCTTAAGACATGCCAACCATGAGGAGGATAGCATTAAAGACAAATACTCACCCTCTGCTTGCTTTTGCTTGAATTCCAGACATCTTTTTCCGGAGAAGTTTCATTAGAGAAACGTTTGTTCACACTCCTTGACTTCCTACCCGGTGCCATCTGCAGACTTCTCCTTCCAATACTTCAAATGATAACTTCGTCCATACAAATAGTTACAAACAACGATGCAGTTCCAAGAGCCAAGGTCCTGGAAAGTCTACAAAACAAGAGCAGATCAGCAAAATCCGCATTTCCCTGATGATAAATCCGAATTCAATCTAAACAAGAAGAAGAAAAAAAACAGTAGGTCGACTGAAGTCAGAAAAGCTCATAACCATACTCCAAAAATCGCTAAACCCATTCTTGGATCAACAAAAACTCAACTGGAAAGATGAAAAATCTACAACCAATAAATGAAAGGAAAAAAACACGAAAATCCCAGATGGAGATTTCGAATCAACTTCGGGATACAAAATCCCAAAATACCAAAAGAGAAAACCCAGTTCCCCATATCCATATACAATACCCATTATGAACCGACACGAAAACCCTCCACAGAGATGCAGAAGCAACGAGTTCGAAACCAAATTTCGAAGAAAATTTTCAAAAAAAAAAACAAATCTTTAATTGATTTTTACACATAGAAACCCGAGTTTCAAAAATTAAAAACTCACATCACTGAACCATATAACATCAACGAAAAAACAGATGCCACAAATCCCAAAACCAAAATCCCGGAAGAGTTTCAGAAAACCCCAATCGGATGAACTTCAGAAAACCCCAATCAGTTTGAACACAGAAAACCCCAGTTGAAGGGAAAATGAACTAGATTCAAACCATGTCGCTACGACACGAAGAGCTAAATAGCATATTTTCGGGAAAAAATTTGAAGAGACCCGTGAAGATAATTCAAACAAAAAAGACAAACCCTTTCAAAACCCTAATCAAAACGGATCCAAAGAAATTCACTCACCAATTACGCGTCTTCAATAGAATAGATTTCGAACCACATAGAAGAGAAACAGAGCGATCTTAGGAGAGATGGAGAGAGCTGATGCTGGGGGTTCGAAAAGAGAGACACCGATGAGAAATTTGAAAGAGGATTTTAGAGAGAGAAGGGTTTGGAGCATGGAGATAGAAAGAGAAAGAGGAAGAGAGAGAAATGAGAGAGGCGTTGCCGCGAAACTTGAATAAAAGGACGACTTGAGCCAAAGTCATTTCCCCTTTTTTTTTCTTTTGTTTTTTTGTGCGTTCGGAAGCTTGCACTCCTGCTTTAATCACCGTACACGTGGCGTGTTGATTACACGTACGGCTAGATCTCAGTCTCGTATATGGTTTTGTAGGGCTTCGAACAGAAGATTATATTTGAAATTTTCCGAATTAAAAAATAGAATAGATTATAGCCTAGACTATTGGATGGCAAAGATGTGGAATATATATATATACGCATATAATAAAGATTTTCAGAAGAGCAGAAATTATATATAATATACTAATTTCAATTTGATCTGACACCAAAATTTCATATCCTTAAAAACTCACTTACTTCTGAATATGACAGATTTGCTTTGCACACATTAAATAAATAATAATAATAAATAATAATAATAATAATAATAATAATAATAATAATATCTAATTCTTGTTTTCCACTAAGTTTAGTAAAAATATAAAAAAAAAAAGTGATATTAGGGAAGAATATCAGATATATTCGAAATTTTTGGGCAATTTCCGGCCATGGACATTAGGTTTCCGATTTTGGATATTTACATTCGAAACCGATCCAATCTCCAAAAAAAACAGTATTTTTTATTCACAATTTCACAGCATATATATAAATACGCTCTGCACAAGCATGCATGTATACGTATATACGCGAATACGTATACGTATACCTTCAAAACAGATGAGAGAATCTCTTCTCTCTCTAACTATACAGAAGCTAATCCACATCAACTCATCCAAAGCTCCAAACTTTCATATTAGATTAAACTCTCACAAGGTTATACCATTTGCACTGTAATCCTAAACCATCAAAAAACATGGCAAAAAATATTTGATAAATTATGCAGTTTGATAGATAGAAAATATTTATTTCAATTTTGACCCCTTCTCATTTAGCAAATTACACAAAAGCCGCACACTTTTCTCCGATTCCGCTCTGATAGATTCTGGAGCATTTTTCCCTCCCACTTCGCCTCGAAGAATCTGTTCAAAGTTTGGAACTTTGGTGGATGGAATCCAAATGGGTGATTCAGAAGCTGACCTCTCGCCTTCCTTCCTGCTTCTCAACTGTGTTTTCCCCTTCGAAACCCTTAACCGGGCAAAGCCCATGTGACCAAATCTCGACTTTTGTCTTCAACCATGTCGATGTGAGCCTTCTGTTGTCAATCTGTGGGAGAGAAGGCTGGTTTCCTCACCTGGGTCCTAGTTTCCATGCCTCCATCGTAAAAAACTCGAAATTTTTCGAGCCTGGAGATGCCGATTGCGGTCGAAACGCCCTCGTCGTTTGGAACTCTTTGCTTTCGCTCTATGCAAAACGTGGGAAGTCAGATGATGCGGTCAAGTTGTTTGATGAAATGCCCATGAGAGATACTGTCTCATGGAATACGATGCTTCATGGGTTTCTTAGGAATGGAGGGATTGATTCTGGTGTTGGATTGTTCAAAAGAATGCTCGATTCGGGGTTCAATGGTTTTGATCAAGCAACCTTGACAACGGTTCTATCGGTTTGTGATAGACAGGAACTCTGTTCGGTGACCAAGATATTTCATGCTTTGGCAATTTTGAGTGGATACGAGACGGAAACTACAGTAGGCAATGCATTGATCACGTCGTATTTCAAATGCAGATGTCCCGATTCAGGGACTCGGGTATTTGATGAGATGGTAGGAAGAAATGTAGTCACTTGGACAGCCGTGATTTCGGGTCTGGCACAAACAGAGATGCATGAGGAAAGTCTAAGATTGTTTAACTTGATGCGCAGCGGAATAGTTGATCCAAATTCTGTTACGTATTTGAGTTCACTAGTGGCTTGTTCAGGTTTGCAAGGGAAGAAGGAAGGGCGACAAATTCATGCCCTTTTGTCGAAACTTGGTATTGAATCAGATTTGTCTATCGAGAGTGCGTTAATGGATATGTACTCCAAATGCGGAAGTATCGAAGATGCTTGGAAGATTTTTGAGTCTGGAGAAGAACACGATGAGGTTTCCATGACTGTGATATTAGTCGGGTTAGCACAAAATGGGTTTGGGGAGGAAGCTATACAGTTCTTCATGAGAATGTTACAAGCGGATATAGACATTGATGCGAATGTAGTTTCAGCTGTCCTTGGAGTTTCATTTGTAGATACTTCTCTGGCCTTAGGCAAACAGCTGCATGCCCTAGTTATAAAACGAAGCTTCTCTAATAACCCATTTGTGAACAATGGACTTATTAACTTATACTCAAAGTGTGGAGAACTGAACGATTCAATCCATGTCTTCAATAGAATGCCAGAAAGAAATTCTGTTTCTTGGAACTCCATGATCGCAGCATTTGCCCGCCATGGACAAGGGATACCTGCCTTGAAATTGTACGAAGAAATGACATTGCAGCGTGTGAAGCCTACTGATGTCACCTTTCTGTCACTGCTTCATGCCTGTAGCCATGTCGGGTTGGTTGAAAGAGGCATGGAACTCTTGAACACGATGAAAGATATTCATGGAATCAACCCTAGGACAGAACATTACGCTTGTGTTGTTGATATGTTGGGAAGAGCCGGTTTTCTACGAGAAGCAAAGGGCTTTATAGAGGCAATGAACACAAAATCTGACTCTCTTGTTTGGCAGGCACTCCTCGGAGCTTGTAGCTTCCATGGTGAGACAGAAATAGGGAAATACGCAGCTGAACAGTTGATTCTCACAGCACCTGATAATAGCTCAGCTGCTTATATTCTGATGGCAAACATTTACTCATCGAGAGGAAAATGGAGAGAGAGGGCAAGGATGATTAAGAGAATGAAACAAGTGGGAGTGGCTAAAGAAACAGGCATCAGTTGGATTGAGATCGACAAGAAAGTACACAGCTTTGTTGTCGTTGACAAATTGCATCCACAAGTGCTGGATATATATCAAGTTCTGTCTGAATTGTTTCCTGCCATGGTAGATGAAGGCTATAGACCTGATAACAGGTTCCTTCTGTATTACTCGGAGGAAGGCTAAAACTGCATAGCCGTTCGGTTCCTTGATGCCTTCTCTCAACATGTTCACATCAATGGAAATCCATAGAATCCAGAAGGGGTGTGACATCTGGCTTTGAATTTACCCTTCGTGATGTGATGGGGAACCTCGTTGGTGATAGTTTGGATGGAACTTGCTTAGATCCTCTGTTTGACTCGGAGGCTTTATCTGACATAAAGACATCGTCTTTACGCATAATATCTGGTGATTAGTTAACGAGACAGAGAGAGAGAGAGAGAGAGAGAGAGAGAGAGAGAGAGAGAGAGAGAGAGAGAGAGAATGGCGTGTCTCTGTCTCTATGGGTCAGTTCCGAGAATTATTCCGATTCATAAAGCCATTTTCTTTTCTAACTCAAGAAGCTCTTCTTCCCGGCGATTCACACCCTGTTGCAGAGAGAGCACAAGAGACGATCCTCTCTCAAGCTCTTCGCCGTACGCTGTACTGGGAGTAGAACCCAGTTGCTCATTTTCCGAACTGAAAGCAGCTTTTCGCGCCAAAGTAAGCATGTTTAGGAGCAAAATTTGATTTTTTTTCCTCGACAAAGTAAATCAACTTGATTGTATTGGAAATGGGTTGCAATTTCTCTTTAATCAAAATAAATTTGCGATTTTTCTGCCACCGAATGGGAAGCTATGGTGGAGAATTCTTCTTCATGGTTGCCAGAGTTTTGGGTTAAGAGTATGTCTCTGTTTTTGTTGGTTAATGTGTGATGTGAAGGTGAAACAGTATCATCCTGATGTGAACAGAGATGGAAGCAACTCCGACATTATGATCCGTCAGATTATCAAAGCTTATGAGGTAAATTTTCAAGTTCTGTTTTTATTTCCATTTTGTTTCAGCTTCTTTCCACTGTGTTCCCACAGGGTCGGATCTCGTTAATAGACCTTACTTTCTGGAAATTCTGAACTTTCACATAAAAATAGGTTTGAATGATCATCACTGATAAACTAATCTTATCTGTTGCAGATGTTAACGAACTATAGCCGGTCAGAGATCATTGAGAGGTATATTATCACTATCTCAGCAAAGCTTAGTGGTACAAAATTTTATCGAAGCAAAACGGGGAGCCTTGTCTATTTCCTTGTTCCATGTTGTTTGGTTCTCTTCCTTCCAAGAATTCTCTTCTTCTTCTTCACTGTTTCTCTCATTATACTTCACATTTGGCAGTGAATGCCTAGACCCATTTGACCAACCAGAGTGCGAGGCTTTTCATGTGTTCGTGAATGAACTCCTCTGCTTAGGAAGAGGTCTCCCTCATAAGTTTCTCCATTCGCTTTGCTTCATATCTGAAATGTCTGTGAAGTTTCTTTCAGTGTTGATTCTCTTGACAGCTTTCTCTCATGACCCAGCTGAATTTTCTTGAAACCAAACTGTAGGATGCCCCTACTCGTGTGTTAAAACGGCCCCTCATGCCTTTTCCTATGCTTCAACCGGAACTGCCCGAGCTATGTCTCAAGGTGCTCCCCCCTAAAGTTTTGTCCTTTCATGGCCGACTTCAATTCTTTTCTGCACCTTCCTTTGTTACTAGTTTCTGTATGATATAACCAGGGCATGTTGAAGAAGACTGCAGTGTTCAAACTGCAGTTGGTCAGTGCCCGAGGAATTGCATACATTACGTTACACCCTCGCAAAGAATTATCCTTGAGGAGCTACTAGACAGGTTAGCAAGCGTTATCTGAATCATCTTATGCTTGCAGATGCTGAATTTAGAGAGTGTGCATTCTTTCCCAATTCGCAGTGTCTTGGACAAGCCTTACGACTGTTCGGCCGAGGCAGAGTTGCTTTATAATCTCATTGTCAAAGCTCGGTTTGAGAATAATCGTTATCAGAAGCCAAAGAAACGACGAGCTGAATCTTCAAGCAAACATGTAGACTGGTTCTAATCTTTAAGTCTCTCTTTCTCAACGCAGAATTTGAACCAAATTCTACAAAGGGGCTTTCTAGTGGCAGTTTTGGTTGGAAGTTGAACCTCTGGCCATATATGTTTGATTTTTTTCTTGTTTGTTCCGTTTTTCTTCATATTGGTAATTCACAAAGTTCCTTCGATTATTTCTATTTAGATGGGATAATGACTTTAAAACACAACAACAACAACAACAACAACAAGACACCCAGTTCTTACATAAATAGCTTTACAAGTAAAACATGAAATGAAAACTAAGCTCGATCTCTCTATTATTCTGCCATGGCAAATCACAGAGGGAATGGAAGTCTCAATGGCTAGATTCCAACTTTTTTTTCATTGGACAAGAAAAAAAAAACAGTAGCTGCACAACTTTAACAAATAAATGCCAATATCCTCCTGTCTCTCTAGGGTTTAAAAAAATATATATATATATATTTCTACAAAACCTCTTCCATCCCATTCCATGCACCTCGAGGAGATCCCCCCATTTCCATCAGATTAACACTGCCCCTAGAGATCAAGTTTAAAAGAATATCTGTTGTTTCAGCAAAAAGAAAAAACACAACTCAGGACAATGAAGTCGATATCTTTTCTCAGGTCTTTCATGTTGTGGGTAAGCAGTGTCTTCTTACATTTTTAATCTTTAGTTCCATTCATCAGCTCGAACCATTCCTTCTGGCTGCATAGACACGGTAAGCAGCCAGCCCGACAATGGCAACAGCAGCTCCAACTGTGTAAGAATGGTCCAAAAAAAGAGATGGTTAAGAAAGATGGGGGGGAGAGAGAGAGTCACTCTGTTCAGAATTTGCAGAAAATGGGAGGGAAGAGAGAAGAACAAAACCTGAAACCACCATTAGAGAGCAGTTGATGAGCTTATTGTAGTGTTTTCGGCTTTTCCTAGCTTCAGTCTCCGGAATACTCAAATGGGGATGTTCTGCTGCTTCTAATATCTTCCGGAATACATTACCAAAATCTCCCAATTTCGAGCTTATGGGTATTGGAGCCTCCATTCCCATATCTTGTGTAACCTGTTGCAGAGTAAAATCACATAATAAAGCCTTAAAATTTGGTTTGTGGCTTCAAGTATAAAAGAGAATATGAACAGCAGTATACCCTGGTGGATTCTTGTATCGCCATTGGGAACGAATCAAGATCATCTTTAGCAGCAACCATTAGGCATGGGACCTCAAAGCCGGTGTCCTCCCCATGTCTCGCTACTTCCACAAGCATCCCAGTTGCTCTCTTATACGATACCTCATCAGAACTGTTGTGAAAAGGACGATAATTGTATGTATATATGGTCAGATGGTTTAAGGCACATCAATTGTCTAAAAAGTGACGAGAATACCTGTCATACACAAAGACTGCTATATCACACACAGCCAATGACTCTTTGGCTGAAAGCAGTCCTTTAACTCCATCTTCCAGGATTTCCCTCAGCACGAGCGTTTTCTTTGCACCCTGCTCTCCATATGCAATAAATATAGTAGTGAGTCTACAGTTTCAATGATGTAGAAAAGATACAAACTGCTTAAGCATTTCCCACTCACCCGAGACTCATCAACCACATTTACTGCATAGCGGTCATCAGTAGTTGATCCATTATTGTCAGCATACAACCTAGATGATACAGAAACACCAAAAGATTACATAAACATGTCTGTAATTCTGACAAATAGATAGGGAACCTTCCCCCCCCCCCCTTTTGATT